AGGTTAAACTATCCTGTTTGTAAATTTACATCTTGCCCCAGCAACATCAGAGGTCCTCAATCATGAGGTACTGATGGTAAAATTTGTCAGGCTGGGTTCAGGCAGTCTACTTGGACTGTGAGTGAACTGTGCCTTTGGAGGAGAGAGAGGTTTTGCTGTCAGTTGACAGAAGAGCCATGATATCTCCGAGAGCTTTCTTTATCTGATCTCCAAATCTGTGAGAGTCCTGAGGAAAAACAAGAGTAGTGATATGAGGAAAAGGTCAAAAAATGTCAACACATTTGTGGGTGGCAACACTTAGATGCCGACTCTGTATTCATTTTTTTTCTTTACAAGTGTAAGGCTAACTGCACAGACACACATATAAATGCAATGAAATTTCTTCATGGCAAGGTCACTTTGGGTCACTCTGAGGRACTGTAGCTACTGGCTTGTTACCAGAATTTACACCCTTGGTAGATTCTCAGTCATAAAAAAGTCATAAAAAGTTTAAAGAGTATGTTAGGTAGAACAGTAGTGGTTTTAATGGTTTGCCTCAACAGTCAAGTTATTTTCTCTACCTTTAACTTTCTACTGAAAGGGGGAGAACCCACTGAAATGAATAACTAAACCAAATTACATATTTTAGAAAAAAAATCTTTGGAAAAACTTGTTGCTGGCCAACTTGTGTTTTTGGATTCAAATGGTATTTTAACTAATTTACATTTTAGAAAACATCACAGCACTGTTAATGTCACATTAAAGGTTTTAAATTATCTTATTGCACTTGATTTGTTGTGTTGCTGTGTTCATCGACTTGTCCAAGGCATTTGATATTGTGGATTACACACTTTTGATTAAAATGCTGTATTAGAATGAATGGCCTTTCAAATTAAGCTGTCTCTTGGTTTACTGCTACTTATAAAAAAGAACCCAGTGTATACAGTGGGTGGGCTCTTCCTCCTCCTCATCTCTCTCTCTCTCAAGATCACAAATGGGGTTCTGCAGRGTTCAGTCCTAGGACCCATTTTATTTTCTAACGCTACAAATAACTTTTAACAATTTGTCAAATACCTTTTATCATTTATATGCTGATGACCTGGTAATTTATTGTTGCTCTTGTTCACTCTTACAATTTCACTCAAGTTTTTACAGTCTGCATTTAACATTGTTCAGTCTCATTTGCATTGCTCTTAAATTGGTCTTAAATGTAGATAAAACCGAAGCCCTAGCATTCATGCATCGGAGACTGCTCGAGTGATTTCTACTGTCCAAGGTAAAAAAAAAAGTTGAAATTGTTTCCAGCAATAAATACCTGGTTTTAAACTCAATTTGCCAATTTGGTTTGTAAAGTGCAAGAAACTTGGGTAAGCAACTTACGATGTAACATAGGTCTGTGCATGCACATTACCAYAAGATAGGACAGACTGATGGGTAGCACAGATCATCAGAACACCTTCATTAAATATCTCCAGTAATTGGACACTATCATTGTGCTTTCAGGTTTGAATGGGTTTCAAGTGCCTCACACATCACGGAGTTGTGGATGAAATCTGGTGGTGAGGGTACGAACATGCACTCACTGGATGTCTTTGATTTAAACCAGGGGTGCCCAAACATTTTCTCTGAGAGAGCCATAATTAAAATCAATCTGAGGACTGCAGGCCAAATGCAATAATATAAAACATGAAATACAAATAATTTGGTTTCTTATATACAGTATAAGTATATGCATGCTTTCACAGAAAAAAAACATGTTAGTAGACTGCAAACAAATAAGCACGGACAAATGAGATTGACACCCCCCCACAAAGATTAAAGGGGCAACATTATGCATTTCTCAGGCATATATTTAAATTCTATACATAATAAAGTAATGTTATTAAAATGCTGTTTATATGTTTAAATAGGAAATAAACTTGACTTGTCCATATCTGTTTCTAAACGCCTTGAAATTGGCCTCTGTCTCTTTAAAAACCTCCTTCTGCTGCTTCTGTCCCACCCTTTTCAGCATGGGGCTGGGTGGCTGTGTCTCAATTCATGGGCTGGGTCCTCATGAGGACCCTGCCTAGCTGGGCCACGTGGACCACATCCTTGCTGGGCCAGGTAGGCTTGAAATGAGACGGTCTACCTTCGCCTGACATCGGCTTCACGTGAGTTTGCGTGACGACGTGCTCCCCGTTGCCATAGTGATCAGTTTCATGTCGGACTTAAAATGCGTTGGAACGTGTAATTACACGTCTTTTTACTAAAAGAATAACTTCACAGTTAAAACGTTAAACGTAAATAAATAAACATTAACAATTCGGGTTTGGCTCCAGTATCTACAACAGAGTATTAGGGCCACACAGATTTTTTAAACTATTATTATGAAGATAAAGTCATAATATTATGAGAATAAAGTCGTAATATTACAGGCTAAAAAGACAATCTTACATGACGTGTCCATTTCCTGTTCATTTCCTCCTTATTTTCCTCACACTTGCTGTGTACAGCCATGTCTCTGTGTTTATAAAGTTGTCAGTGATGACCTGGATCACTGTTAGATTAATATGATTTCATCCAAATTCAGCTATGTGACGACTAATACAGTGCATTACAATACAGCTTCCGTTTATAGTCGTTTGCACAATATCTAAGTCCTGCTACTGATAATTTGATGCTGATGTGCTAAAAGATTAACTATTTRTTTTAAGCAATGCTAGAAAAACAACTTGACAAGTTGCTCAACATTCCTCATTTTAATGCAGTGATAACTGCATGCTTTTTCATGTAAAGGCAAGAATATTTTGACTTTTTTTCTTGTAACATTATTACTTTATTCTTGTAATATTATGACTTTAATCTTGTAATGTTATGACTTTATTCTTGTAACTTGTAGTTTCATTTTCTTTTAACATTGTAAGAGAYTATCGGTCTCTACACTTCTCAAAACCTAAAGTTATGAGGAATCACGAGTTCTCTCTGGGGAGATGAAATACCCTTCATGTGAATGTAAGAAACATGCACACACAATAATTTGCCAACTCAGTCAAGTTTTCYAAAATAAATTACATTTATTTACAGAATAAAATAAACTACTTATGTACAAACTAATGTGAATAATCAGAACTTTATGAGTTAAAACATCTACAGGAATCACTTGCGCGTCCGTAATGATAAATGTAAAATATGACAACTCAAAAAGAACAACAGTGAACTTTAGGTTTAGATCTTGATAAACCAGATGTTTACAGGCACATTACACTTATGGCAAGGTTTTAAGATTAAGAACAGTAAAGAAAAAGAAGGATTAGTTTTAAGATTTAAGAATTATCAGTTATCTTATCAAAGTATGAAAGCCAGAATGAGCACCCTGCGTCTTCACCACCGCGTCAGCTGGACCTCCGAACACTTTACAAAACGCAGCTTTACCTGTTGGTGTTTTTGACTGTCAGGTCAAGCATGTGGACAGGAGTCACTCGGTTTGTTAAGATATCCAGGTCAGGAACCTTACGACCAGTCAAAAACCCCACGTTTTGTTTACAGCATCTCAGAAGGTCTGCTTTTGTCCGGCAGAGAGAAAGAAGGTTCTCTGCTCAGGTTTTTTTCCCCAAAAAAATAAAAGCTTCTCATCAGAAGTTTCAAAATAATGGAGCTTCAAAGCTGTTGTTGAATCAAGACTGAAGGTGTCTTGATTCTAGACAACAAGAATTGCTCACTGGCTCATGAGACAAATCTGATTGACAAAGGCTGAATTTTCCTGTAAAAGGAAAAATATCTCAGAGGTGAAACTGGTGTTTTCTCGTCTTTCTTCTTTCGTTCTCTTTTTTCTGTCAAGGCTCAGTCCGTGTGTTAGTATCTAAAAAGGGAGTCRCTAAGGATGACCTCGACTTTGGTTAAAACAGGAGGAAGGAATGAAATGAACTGAGACAGGCTGTGAAGAGGAAGCTCACAGGAGAGCCCAGAGGAGGAGCTAATCCCAAAAGGCGGTTCTAGGCCCAACCGGTCATTTTTGCTCCCTTGCCTGGCTGCCTCAGGACAGACAGCACAGGATTTCACAAACATGCATGAATGAGATAAATCAAGACTTTGGGCATGTTTTTGATGAGAGGATAACATTATAACATGATATAAAGCTAAAAAAGTTGATTTTACATGATATTGCCCCTTTAAAGTAACTGATCCTGCAGGGTGTTATTTTATATTTAACAGTTACCTATACAAATATTTAAATACTATGAGTAAAAAACAACAAAACAGAAGATATAGACACTTTACTTACAGTATCATTGCAGGAATACTTTGATGACACATGGAAGTTTAACAAGTCCTCTCCAACAATKATGTATGAAACTCCATAACCATCATCTGCAACCTAATGTGACAGAAATATGACATTAGAAYTTATTTGATTGAAAATTCTCTCATCGTCATTCATCTTCTATACCCGCTTGTTCCTGTTCAGGGTCACAAGGGTGTGTAAGTTTATCTCCAGGGGTCGACGAACAGGAGGCGGCCTCCAGTCCATCGCAGGGATTATTATTAATTTGATTCTAAATATTTTATTAATCTGAGAAAAATAAAGTGTTCAGTTGGTCTCATTAAGGGAAAATATTCAACAGGTCCTGGAGCAGTTTACAGCCTCAGTGGGGAAAGATTGGATTGCAAACTCCAAGATGTAGGTGAGCTTCTGCCTCAAGTAAAGTTGTTTAAGTATCTCAGGGTCTTATTCTAAAGTGAAGAAAGATTGGAGCGAGACATTGATAGGCAAACTGAGGCAACGTGTGAAGTGATTTGGATGCTGGATCGAGTCTTTCGCACTTAAAATAGATCTGAGCCAAAAAGAAAATGTATGAGGTTCAGAAGTGATGTTCACAACCTCCCTAGGAAGTGACATTCTAATATTATTACTACAGTTGMTGTATCTGCTGCTGYTAATACACCTGAATTTCCCCGCGCAGGACAATAAAGGCTGTTTCTATTCTATTCTACTATTCCAAGGCCATGAGCTCAGGATAATGACTGAAAGAATCAGTGTAATAAAAGTGGCTAAAATCAGTGTCCTCTGCAGAGTGGCTGAGCCTGAATACCCAAATTTATAACCTCATAGTTGAGTTTCAAGTAGAGTTGCTGTTCCTCTGTACTGAAAGCAGTCAGTTGAGGTGGTTTATTTTAAGTGCCTGTGACGTGCATATCCATCTCCATTAAAAATGAAGTCAAAGAAAATATTTATATTTGAGAAACTTGGCATAAAACACATGATTTTACTCGTTATGTGACAGAATTGGCACATTTCTTTTAAATTTGGCTCAACTAAAGTGAAACAGGAAGTGACATCAAAGGGGAACTCCAAGAAAGAAAACTTCCTGGTTTTTGTTTATTGAAACATTATTTGAACTACGACTCTTCCTCATCTTTCTATGATAGTGATTAAAATAATCTTAAGAAACATCAGATTCTTCTCTACAGTCTGTGTYGTTAGCCATTTTAGCAACACACTGTTTACATTCAGACATTCCCCTTCGACATCACTTCCTGTTACTTCACATGCAAATATCTCAACAGCTGTTCATCTCAGTGACGTTAAATCTTTTTTACAGTATGTTGCCAATGTTATTTTTCCAAAAATACATTCATATTTATTACAAAAATTTGATGTCACAGGTACTTTAACGTAAGAAAAAATTCTGGACACCCCCCTGAAGGGATATAAACATATCCCAAAAAAATCCGATTCGAATTAATACCCAACAAACCAACCATGGTAAAAAAAAATTCCGTGTGTCCCATTACTTTTACAAACCACAAAACTAAAATTTAATAGACAAAAAAGCACTCCATGTGACTCAAATTTACACTTAAAAAGKGTGCATTACTCACAGGTCCAAATCCTCCACCAAGCGATATAAAATCCGGGTGGTTCTTCAGGTCAAACAGATTTAACTGCTGAATGGGGGTCTGGCTAGTGGAGAGACGCCAAGGCTCAGACAAAACCTAAAGTGTGAACAGGTGGAGAAAAGAAAGTGTTTTGTTAAATCCATCACTCTTCGTACATTTGTGTGTGTGCTCATTTCTGCTTCACAGATACACAGTAGTTGTGCAGTTTAAAGGTTCAGTTATAGTCGTGACTTTGTGTGTTGCACAGGGCGCACCTTCGCCAGCGGTGTAGACGCTTATACTTGACGCTAGTGTTGTAGTCAAGACCACCTAACCCGAGACTAAGTCAAGACCAAGACCACAGTGTCTCGAGACCGAGACAAGACCAAGACTTTTAGGATTTGGACCAAGTCGAGACCAAGACCAAGGGAGGGCGAGACCGAGACAAGACCAAGAC